AACTAAAAAACGACACGAAGACATCAACTGGCTGTATCATTTTGCGACGTTGGAAAAGCATACTTTATTGAAAAATTGACCAAAAAAATGTTTGTGTTTTTGAGCTGGAATTTGGCGATAATGTGCGAAATGCAATTCAAATTTGACACATTTTTTACTTTGGCAGTTTTTCAGAAACATCATATACTGTGAGTTTTTGGGAAAATTAGAGGTGGCTGTATCATTTTGCGACGCACTGTAGTTAACACCATTCTGTAGGTTTCGCTTTCTATTTAACTCGAAAGCACACCTTGTTAGGGAACAGGCCGAGTAACTTGATATTGTTGTCGTGTTCTCTGCTTTCTAACATTCATGTGGATACCAGCTGCAATGAAGTGTAGGCTTAACTGGAAAGGCTTCCATCCTCGCAATCCAAGCTTTAGAATGTTTCCTCAAGTTTCTTACAGCGCGTAAATCACATATCAGCTTTTCTGTGTGCTCTGCTTTGCGCTTCTTCGAATGGTTGGACTAATAACTAAAATAAAGCAACTTGGCGAACCATAAATTTGTTTTAAGGATGAATATTTATTTTCGATTTTTTCAAAGGTTTATCAACACTCCGCGAGCTGACGGTGCTGAGCTTCATTGGCAATGCCATCAGAACAATCGAAGGACTCGATCGATTAACAAACCTAGTGGATCTCGCTTTATCACAAAATGGAATCACACGAATAGCAGGGTAAGCCATTATCATACACAGAACAGAAGACGCGCACCTATTTGGTAAATCGGGACCATCCATCAGAACCGAGTTACCGACACCATGACTTCTCTGATTACAATTTAAAGGCAAAGGTTACGATGAAGATGGTTCCTGAGGTTTTTTCTTGATATGAACTTGGGACCCCCATGGATAGCACAAGAGACTCTGTCGGATCGAAAGTGGTCTAGGTAGGGCCCCAAAACCTGGTTAGCCGGCAGGATAGCACAAAGGACTCTGTCGGATCGAAAGCGGTCTAGGTAGGGCCCCAAAACCTGGTTAGCCGGCCTGAGGAGGACGAGTTCTCAGGCTTCGTAGAAGCTGTGAATGTTGCACAATTTCCACTGGGACCCACATTTTGAACGCAAGCCGCTTACTATAGCCAGCTATAGGCAATGACGCACACATTTGAACAACTCGTCAAAATACTCCTTCCATATCGTCACATTCTCGTCCAATCCCTACTTTTACTATTTGTTGGAAGCCTTATATTTCTCTGAGTATACGCCGCATTTCGCTATTCCTTCGCCGCTTTCGCTCTATTCTGAACGATCACTTCCACCATTCAAATCCAAATACCCCAAAATTAACTTGAATCGTGGTTCTAGTGACAGCTATTGCACCACCCCAACTCTCTACGTGGTACTTTACAATATTCATGTTAGGCATAACTACCTGTCGTAATCCCCATCGGCTAGTAAGCACGAATGTAGAGAAGTTTAAGTTCGCTCTGAGTCTCTGGCCACTCGCCGCGTGAGGGATCTTCTGTCCTACTCGAGTAAGCAGGCACATTGACTCATTCTTATTTCTCGCTTTTTTATTAGTAACTTTCTGTTTACAGCCTTGTCAATAACGTCGCCCTCGTCATACTTGATCTTAACGACAACCAAATAGAAAAGATCGAAAATCTTCAACATCTAACTAATTTGAAGAGTCTGTGGATGCGTAGAAATAGGGTGAGTGAGACGTTTGAAATAGGGCTTTGGATGCAAAGAGAGCAGCATATAATTGTTCAGATCTCGAATTGGTCGGAAGTAGCGTACTTGAATCGTTTGCCAGCTCTGAGAGATGTTACTTTGGAAATGAATCCCATATACAGGTTAATTTTGTCCCAAGTAATTAAGCAAAATTCGGAAAACATTTTTTTGGGAGACTGTTTCCGATCGCTAATGAATTGTCAGAGGTAGACTGAATACGTTGGGTCAGAACGCGACACCGTCAAATAGGGATATGTGTCACCTCATGCGTCCGATGATGCGCGCGACAAATTGCGCGGCGAAGTATGTAACGGTTTGAACGACTTCAGCGCCTTTCATTGGGGCCGAATTTAAAGGAGAGTAGATTAGAAGGATCATCTGACCCTTCTAAACTACCCTACTTCGAGTTTGTGTCCCGAAAATTGGCGACAGAGTCGTACAAATCGTCAAGAACTAAGCCGCGCAAGTTGCCGCGCGCGTCTTCGGACGCACGAGGTGACCGCCCCCCGTCAAATTGTGCGGCAATTTCGCGGACGACCCATTCGTCGCCCGCGGCACCCGAATTCGTGCGACCCCAAGTGATCACCCAACGTTAACTACATTAGTTCATCACCTCTATTCTTCTTATAGGAATAACTAACCCTGCGCATATAACTCGGAGTATGTGGGGTAACTACATACATTGCAACTGCAAAAAGCAGATAGTAAAGTATTTCTGCTCAAAGAATTACTGAATTTCAGCACGCAACATTTCTACCGTAATCGAGTTCGAGAAATACTTCCACGTGTGAAAATCATCGATGCCGTGCCAGTGAATTGGGCAAGCGGGGATCCATGGCAGGAACTGGCACCTGATGACTAACTTTGCTTAACAATTATACTTAGACACTATTAAATTGAAGATATATAGCTACCAGCATATTCGAATCAATAAACAAGATGATCTATACTGGTGCTGTCGATTTACATAGGCTCATCGCAACTTTCACAAGCAATTTGGGAAGAATTTCGTATGGAATATATGACAATTTTTTTCCTTCTACTATGTGAGAGTGAACTGCAAGGAGGACACGTTGATGTTCTTGCGTTGATCAGTCCCATTTATAGGGGGCGCCTCGCACTTGTCTTCCATTCAGAATCGCAGCGGCGTATTGGACGGGAGACGGGCGTTAGGAACGATTTTGGGTAATCGATTCGCCGCACGCGGCTGTCGCGGACCACTCACTCAACGCACCACACCGGTATTGTACGCGTGTGCGGCCCATACAATGAATAGCGGTAACCAGCCGATGCACAAGTCAGTGCTACTCTCCTCCTAGACTAATTAACGGACCCTGGAGGGATGGAAAGCTTGTGTAGAGTAGGCAATTATCAGTCCGGGACTTGAACCCGTTATCATCCGTATGGGATATTGCATCGAATTGTGTAGGCTAGTTGTCTCGACGAGAAGGGTGTGTGTCAAGTCGTGCGTCCGAGGGTGCGCGCGGCAAAATGCGCGGCGGAGTTCGTGGCGAATTTGAACGACTCC